AATACTGGGCTCACTCCTGAGGGAAGGCAGGTCCTCTTGGGCAAGGGCTGAGAAGCCCTGGCTCCTGTTCCCTCTGGAGCCTAGCCTTGGTGAGGACCTAGAAGCTGGCTTTTGACATGTCTAGAGCCCCGTCTGGAGGGCTGTGGAGGAGCCCTGACAGGGTCTCCTTGTCTACTGCTCACAGAATCATTAAAAAGTTTTTTATGGGTATGAGTGTTTTGACTGCATGTATGTAAGTGTACCACATGCATGCAATGCCTACGGAAGACAGAAGAAGGTACTGGATCCCCTGGAACAGTAGTTACAGATGGATATTAGCTGCCATGTTGGTGTGGGCACTGGGAAATGAACCCAGGTCTTCTGTAGGAGCAGTCAGTGCTCTTAACCACTGCACTACCTCTTCAGCTCCTGCCCACGTCTTTTTTTGTTTTTTGAGACAGGGTCTCCCTGTAGCCCAGCCGGCCTGGTACTTGATATGTAGACCAGGCTTGGCCTCAAACTCACAGAGATCGACCTGCCTCTACCTCCCAAGTGCTGGGATCAAAGGCGTGCACCACCACGCCTGTTTATCCATACATTTTTTAAAATTTATTATTTTTTAAATTTTATGTGTATGGTGTATTGCCTGCATGTAGATAAGTGCACCGTGTCATGCAATGCCCGCGGAGGTCAGATGAGGCTGTCAGATCCCCTGGGACTGGAGTTATGGACAGCTGTTAGCTGCCATGTGGGTGCTGGGATTTGAACCTGGGTCTTCTGCAAGAACAACCAGTGTTCTTAACTGCTGCGCCATCTCTCCAGCCCTGTCCATAGAATCTTAACTGACCTACTCAGCCTAAGGACGGTACTGCAGCTGTATGAACTGGCTCCACTTGAACATGGGACTAGCTCTGGAAGACGTCATCTTGGCCCAGGTGGCCAGTGCTTGCTCAGAAAGCCTCTTAGCTCTGATTGTTTTCCTTGACTTCTGAGGCTGACATTGTAACTGTCTACCATTGCCAGGGTGGTCCAATTCTCCCAAGGTTCCAGGAACAGTACAACCCTTCCAGTCTTGCTATAAGGATCCCTCAGCTAGGCTGTTTATGGGGGACTCCTTAAGGGAATAGTGGGATAGGCTATAGACAGAGGAGGGCTCCAGGTGGCTTTGTTGCAAACCTAAGCTGATTGCTGGGGAAAGTTCTTGGCATTGCCAGGGAAGGAACAGGATGACCTGCCTCATGTGCAGGTGAAGGTTTTGGGGTGGGGGGACAGGAGCAGCTGCTTCAGTGTAAAGTGTGAAAGGCAGCTGTCATGTGCACCCAACAGTGTCAAGAACCTTTCCAAAGTGCTAGGATCTGCTCTGGATCAGCAGAAGCCAGGTCCCTGGACAGTGGAGTCCAGGTCCTCAGTCTCTTAGGGGCCATTTGGTGGGAACCCATGTTGGTCTCTGATTGAGACTCAAGGCTTTTCTAAATGTGCTGACCCTGAGCCTGAGGGACAAGCCAGGTCCTCATCCTGCTGAAGCTGTTTCTTATACTGTCCAGGTCTTGGCTTCCCTGAGGCTGCTTCCCACCCCAAAGTCATCCCAGAGGCTTTGGGAGGGAGGGTTTCCGCCTATATCTCAGGTATGTGACAAGTGTGGGAGGGAGATCAGGGCTGGTGGACAAATGCTTAGGAGGGGTGGGGTCCTTGGACTTTGCTCTGCTTCCTGTGCATCCCTCTATGAGTCCTCTGTCAGGATAAGAGCTGAGAGATAAGGCTCTAGGCCCCCCCATGGGAACAGGTAGAGCTGGCTGGAGCCTAGGCCTGGTTCCCCTTGGTTCTCTCCACTGAAGCCCCCTCTGGTTCATGGTGCCTGGAATTAGGCCCTTAGAGCTCACCTCCCTAACTGTGGCTCCTTTCACAGTGGTAAGGAAATTCTATTGCTGGCTCTGCCTAAGAGCTCCCTGAGGTGGGTCACTGGCCTCTTGGGACACCCATTTCCTAGGGCTTGACGTCATTCTTTTAGGACACACCCTCACAGGGGCTCTGGGCTACTCCCCAGCCATGGGTGGGGGGACCAGAGGGACAGTAAAAATAGACATTACGCCCAGCCATGTCAGTGGTTCATGTTTAGGTTTTTTTTTTTTTTTTTAAAACTCAAATTTCTTTGATAAAATATTTTCCCATGGTGGACAGCACTGGGAATGTCCCTTTGGCGGACGTTCCTGATAGAGTCTCTGCTCCCCACTCCCAGAGTCCAGCTTCTGGGGCCATGACCCCCCTTGGGAGACCCTCTGTTCCCCACACTGCACTGTGGCTCTTGGGGCTGGGCAGGTGGACAGTGCTCACTTTGAGGTCAGTCTTCCCTGCGCAATACAGGTCTCTAACATGCAGACATGCCCAGAAAGTTGGCCCTAGTCGCCTCAGACCCCTGTTCTGTCATCACTGCTCACTTCCTACTTGCACCCCCTGTGCCAACCTGAGCTTTACTCTGGGAACACTGCATTTTGAGTGGGTTTTCCCCCTGGGAATGGCACCAAAATAGCAGAAGGAAAAGAAAATGGAAATTCAGCTGGTGGCAGTTCTCCAGGGAGGTGACCTGCTTTGGCCTATCTAAGGATTGTAGGGGCTGTGAGTCTGGGTTCAGTGCTCTGAGCCAGGCCTGTAGGGCAGCTCCAAGATGGAAGGCACATGCCTCCTGGAGCTGGGCCGGGGGCTTTGGGGCCGTCTTAAGCCAGGATCAAGTGTGTTGCACTCTATGGCTGAGGCCTTTGGAGGTTATAGCAGAGGTCTGCAAACCACCTGGAACAGGACCACTCTGACACAAATCTCCTTTGCTTCACCTTGGGGTATTCAGATACTCTTCCAGTGTCCTTATTGGCCCTGACAACAAAGTCTTCCTTGGCCACTGGGACAAGGGATAGGGGTGGCTGCCATGTGTATATGTGTGTGTATGTATGTGTGTGCGTGTGTGTGTGTGTTGTGTACGTATGTATGTGTGTGTATGTGTGTGCTCCATGGCACTCCCAGTTGCCTGCCTGGGTCAAACTCCCAGGTCCCCGGAGAGGGTGGTGAGAATGTGGCTCAAGGACTGTCCAATGATGGGAACGATGTTCTCAGTGCACATACACAACACAGTCATGTGGCCTGGAGCCTTGGCCCTCCAGGCCTTGAAAATGTCTTGGGATTCTAGACCCAGGGGCCAGCCTACACAGCCTGAAGTTCAGAGACATGCACAGTAGATGCACTTGTGCAAAGCAAGCTGTCTGCCTTCCCTGCCCAGCATCTTGGCTGCTTCTCAGTGGTTTATCTCACCCATTTGATCCCTCACATTGGCCTGTGAGTCACTGTGTACACTCTCAAAGTGCTCTTGAGAGTGCTCTCAAAGGCTGTCTTCCACCAGTGAGGGTCCTGCCCTCAGACACACCCATCTGGGCCTGTGTGTTTCCTGCTCTGGTGTGGCTCTGTGGTGGGCTCTGCTACCCAGCCATGGTAGTTGCATTGACCCGTGGGATGCACAAAGCAGGACATGGTGTTAGTGATAGGGCTGGGCAGTGGGGTGAGGACTGAGACAGCTCATGAGCCATGCATGTCCTGCCTCATGTGGAGGAATGGCCCCTTCAGGATAGAACCCTGAGAAGTCTTACCAACATCTGTAACTGTAGCATCTGAAACCAAAGCCCTCACACTGCCCTCAGTCCCACTCTACTCCATGCCTGGCTTCTGTCCTGGAATGACCAGGTGCTGCCCCTTCTGGCCTAAGTGCGTGATGACCCCTGGTCTGGTCGCAGCAGCTTCCTGCCCCTCTGAAAACCTGTCCTTTGGTTTATGTCTCTTGCTTGCCAGAACGGGAGCCTCAGTATGCTCACCTGAGGGTTAGGTCTCCTTAGCCAGGCTATGGGGCTCCTTCACTGCCCTCACACTGTCCATGCTTGGGTGCAAGAGGTGCTCTTCCTCCACCTAGCCCTCAGGTCTGAGGTAGCACCAGACATCAGGCTTTTGCCTGCACATGGTTCAGGATTGAGTAGGGGTTTCCTTTCAGCTACCCAACTTCCTGTTTTCTCAAGAAAAAGCAGCAGCCGAGGTTCTGAAAAGCTCATTAAAATGCCTCCCCAGGCGTCCCGGACATCCTGGGGTCTTTACAACGCTTGAGGGCAGAGCTCAGACAAAGAAAGGCAGAGGACGGACGTGGTTCCTGTCGCCCCTGGAGCTCAACACTGAAGGAAAAGGCCTGGAGCACACTTCCTTGCTGCAAAGTGCCATAGGGGAAGCCACTGTCCCAGTAGGGCAGTGGAGCCAGCAGGTCAGACTGCACCCCACACTCCAGGCTGCAGAGGCAGGAGGCCCAGAAGCCTGCTGGTCCAGAGTGCCTATCTCCCCACAATACTTTCAGCACTGCAGACTTCCAACCCACTGCAGAAAAACAACCCAAGTTCCAATAGTAGAGGAACCAGTCCTGGCTGGTCCCTCTCCAGCCAGGTAGGCTGCTTTACCCAAGTCTGGGAAGGTAGGGCTGAGCTCCAGCCCTGCACAGTCAGGGAGGTAGCCTGAGGGGCTCTCAAGGAAAGCTTCCAAACCCAGGGTTCAAAACTAATACCATTGCTAGAAGGAACCTCCCCTTCACTGGTCTCTAGGAAGCATGTACATGTAGGAGCCCAAGTCCAGACCAGCAGGGTCAGGCCCTTACACCAGAGGTCCAGAAGATGCCTCAAGAGCCTGTCTGAGAGCCACTTTTTACACTTTCTCTTGGTTCATCACAGAAACTCCTCAGGGGCCAGAGCAAACCCCCAAACTGGTGCCTTACCATCCCTTGGCATGACTAGAATGCTGTACACAAACTGGCCCAGGTAGCAATGACCACTGTGCCATGCAGCTGTGTGCAGGTGTCTAACCATACATGGGTGGGAGATGATGTACGGCCACTGCTCCTATGGACAGAAACTGGAAGGCACTGTTGTCTGTCACCATCAAGGGATACACGGGTTCTTGCTTGCCTGCCACGGTGCTTCCCACCTAGGATAGACACTCTTAGGACCTACCTGGCAGTGGCTGAAGATGTCTGTGTGAGTGACTTGTACACTGAAGTGCCTGAGCACGTCCTTGGCTTGCTGCTGGGCCTTGAGGGCACAGTTCACAGAAAGGCAATACCCAGCCCCAACCTGGGCACAAAGCTGCAAAGATACAACTGGTGAGCCCTGGGGCCCTCACAACCCAGAACTTCCGGTGGCTTCTTCTGGGAAGAAGGCTACAAGGGCAGAGCAACACCTCACACCCCCCAGCCCCATATGAGCAGACCCTGAGGTGAGTAAGGAACTGGGAATGGGGCGGCCTGGTTGGACTGAGGTCCCTTGGGAGATGGGTCTCAGCTCTCACCTGGTGGTATGGCATCCTTCATGTCAGGATGATTCTTCCCTCCTGTCTGGCCACCTGTACAGGAGTGACACCAGCAGCGTGAAAACACTCCACTGCTCCTTCCCACCCACAGGGCTTTGTCCCCTGTGTCAACAGGCATCAAACTTTGCTGCCATCAGGCCCTGCAGCCCACAGTCTGGGCACCATCTTGTTTTGCAGATATGCTCTTGGAGCAATGCAAACACTTTATATAATTACAAACAAAATTAAAGTTTAAAAGCAATTCTTAAAAATCTGAAGCAGGGGGGCTGGAGAGATGGCTCAGCGGTTAAGAGCACTGACTGCTCTTGCAGAAGACCTGGGTTCGATTCCCAGCACCCACATGGCAGTTATGAACTGTCCTTAACTCCAGTTCCAGGGGAATCCAAAGCCCTCTTCTGACCTCCGTGCCATTGTACGACATGG